TCTGATGAAGATGGTATGTGATTGGGGGCCATGTTGGACCTGCAAGCTGAACCTTTGCCTTTTGCTTATACTGTGCATCTCAACTGCAGTTCCTTTTCAGACCCATTCATCACACCAGTGAATTGTTGGTTTATGTGCTGGGAGACAGGAAGAGCCATGTGCCATGTCTGCTTATCTTGTTCCTATGTACCAGAGAATAAATCCCATGGAACTTAATGCCACATTTCATTAGCTAGATATGAATAGGAGAGGAGTGCAATAGAAATGAAATGTATGCTTCCTTCAAAGATGGGATTTGATGTGGAGGTGGCTACAAGTGCCTTTTCACAGATGGATGAGCAATTTCACCATTCTCACATCAGCAAGAAATTAAGTTATGTAGAATCTTAACAGAAGTTCATTTATCTAACATAAGTTAGTGAGTTTTTCTTATGTTTACTGTTTATATATATATATATATTTATTACCTGGAGGTTCTATAGGGTACATCTAGGTTAATCCCAGGAGATAAACAGAAAAAGTCAAGATACACATTTTAAAAGGGGGGTTATGCTCATCTGAAACAGCAAAATGAACCTATTTTTATGGTGCCTATATCATTAGCAAATATTATTTGGCATAAGTTTTTCTGGAGACATATCTGGTGAAGTAGGCTGTAGTTCCAGAAAAGCCAATGCCAAATTCTAAAAGGATGACTGTAGTAATTTTTCTCTCTAAAGCAGACATGGGCAAACTTCGGCCCTCTGGGTGTTTTGGACTTCATTAGCTAGATGTTTGCTAAGAATTGTGAGAGTTGCAGTCCAAAACACCTGGAGGGCTGAAGTTTGCCCATGCCTGCTCTAGAGCAATGAAAGGACATAAAATATCTGGGCTTCACGAATTGTATTCATAACTCTAGATATTGAAAGTAGTTAATAAAACTTGTTGTTTAGATGCAGTATATCTGCTAAGTAACACTATCTTGGATCCTAAGATGAAGGCAAAGCTATATTAATTGTTTAAGCAGCAACAGAAGAAAGTGGCTGAAGCCCTGGCCGTCAATCTTACAAATGAAATTGTTATTTTTTCCCATCTATGAAAAAGCCGTAGCTGAGGACGGTCTACCAATGTTCCCATCTCACTAAAGAATCAGAAAACAAGATATAGAATGTCTTTTTAATCTCAAGACATGGCTTTGGTTTTATTACCATCTTTTATGTGGTTGGCTTTTAGAAGACAAGCTCAACTCTATAAAGTCAAATCCAAGTATTTTTTAAAATGTCAGGTCAAAAGAAGTTAGAGGTGAATAAATGTCAATTCACTATCACATGGTACAAAAATATAAGGAACTACCAGATAACCCTTGAGATGTGGCAACACATTTTAATTTAAACTACTGGCGTTGGAGGAAGATTTATCTCTGTCCCAGCTGTATTCATGACTCTGATGTAGCCTCTGTCTGGAATCCTCTCATTTAGCTCCAACATGACTAACCCGAGAATCAACTGTTTCATCAACATGCAGGCAATTCTAATAGTTAATTGGTCGACTCTGTCAAGACTAACAATGTGATTTGGCTAGCACTCTTCAACTTGGCCTAGTCCAAATCCTTTATTTTCACAAGGAATTTACATCTGCCAACATGAACTCCTCAAGAGATGCATGTTTGACACAGATAATGGTATGGTTAAATTCAGAACTTTAGTACAATGTGAATACTCCAAGAGCTGTAATACTTTTGTGTTGTCTTTGAAAACCCTTAATTAAAGAACATAATTTAAAACGGCAGGAAACCAGCTGCCCCATTTTTACCCGATGTAATTAAAACAAATGTAAACATGTTATAGCGTTCTTCCTTTACAGTCACAGGGCTACGCTTTAGCAAGTCAATTATGACTCATGAGTTAATTTCTGCTCATTTACATTCAGCTGTTGGAAGTCAACTCATCTCACTGCATCTTCATAGTTATTCATGATCGAATGGTCTAACAGAAAGGGAATTATATTAGTCCTGCATTTTCTTGGTTATATAGGTCTGCAAAGTTCAGGAACAATGTTAAGATTTGAAAAGAATAGAAGCACAAGCTGGTGTTTTGTTTTTTTTTATTCCTTCCTAAGTGATGATGTGACTGTGCATGTCTTCTGTATGGCTCCTGATGCATCAGATGGCCATTTGTAAATGAAAAGGCAATAAATTTTCTGCTTGTTTTCCTGTTATGTAATACTGACACGCAGTTCATGCATTATTAATAAAAAAAGATGTGATCAGGTAGCATTATCTTTCCTTTATTCATCAGAGACCAACATGAATTAATTTTCCGTTGTTATGAAAACTGGGCACACAGTCATTTCTTTTGTATTTAATTTTTATATATCAGAACCAAAAAGTATGCTTAACCTAGAAGCATTTTTTTAAAAAATTCACAGCATAGCTTTTGAATAACTTGCAGGGACTGTTATACAATATTTTTAAGTCCCTTGGTCACTGAGGGATTATGGTGGACCAATCTTTTGCACAATATTACTTCCAGTTAATTCATGTCCTCATGCACCAAACTACTGTTACAACATAACACTAATACACCAGTTATTTTCATACACATTCAGTGCGGCCCTATCAATGTTTGCTAATAAATCAATCGCCTTGCATTCAAGAGAATAAACATAATTTCCCTGGAGTGCCAGTCTTACTCATAAGTGGACCTTTCCCGTTTTGACAGCATTTCCACTGCTTTGAACCTATAATTCTGCCGCAATGAGTCCTCAGATGCTTCTATAATCCCAATTACAGAGGCCATTCTAAAATTACACCTTCTAGCTTTCATAGTGCTATTTTTAGTTTTTATGATTCAGTCCCATATTGCATGATCATATTGCTTAACAATTAATACAAACACAAGCTTTGTTTCATCATAACGAAAAACAGTTTGCGAAGTAGGTCATGTTATTCATAACCCCCAGATGTCCTTGGTATTTACCACTTGACATAAAAAGATTCTCGGCTTTAAAGAGAAGCACAGAACGGTATAGGTCATAAACATTTGCCTGTAATTTTATTCTTTAATTATTGTCCTCTTGCCTGCAACTTTGCTGTTATTTTTAGAGCACTTGTCTCCTTTCGTCCTAGCACTGTACTTTTTTTTTTTTACCTTAAAGGAACATTCATTAGCTTGTGTTAAGATTTACTGCAAGATAAAATGAAAACTTCATGGGCGTGAAGCTGAAAAATGTCCCTCTCCCTTCCCATAACTGCGGAAAAATAACTAAATTGACAGCTTGAAACAAACATTGAAGTACTCAAGGTTTATTGGCCAGTTTTCTACAACTTGGAGACTGGAAACAAGTGTGAAAACATTCCCTTCAGAGCCATATTCAGATTGGAGAGGTGTTTATTGCCTTCCCCGAAAGGGAAATCCTAAGACCCCCCCCCCCCCCAAATAAACCTTCCACCAGTGTCTCCCTATTCAAGATATAAGATGATATAGCAAACTGTCTCCGGTCCTGATGTTTGTTAATGCTACACAAGAATGTTTGAAAATCCGTGGTTTTTTGTTTGGTTTTTTTAATGCCCTTTGAAGACTAATTGCAATTGTTCTAACTGAATGCTCATAAACACATTTAAGCTCTTTGGATAGCAATTCGTAAATACAAACTACAAAGCCAGGTATGAGAAACTGGATGTTTCACTACTGAAGAATCGGTAATGTACCAAGCAAATACAGGAAGAACCAGAACGTTGTCATCATAATGAACAATGAACTCATTTGTGCGTAGAATGAAGGCAACAGTCAACATTGCTGTTGTTGAAACCATTTCCTGTTTCACTTCAAGGAATGAGGGGCACATGGCAAAAGGTTAGCCTAGATGTATGTCATGCTGGGATGCCCAACAATCAGAAAAGCAATTTTAAGGGTTTAGACAAGGGAAATGGTTGTGGTTATCCTTGTAGAGATAAAAGCATGACTCCTTTTGCTTTTAGTTGAGGAGAATGTCTGAATCGGGTGCAAAGGGGATAACCACCATGATTTGTGGGGATTTGTGCTTAGCACCATCAAGAGAACGTCACAGTCACCAGGATCAGGAAAATCATGGAGTGCTTTCACCATAGGTTCACAAAAAGTCAAGGTGATGGCAACCAAGCCATTCCACTTCGGAGTGAAAATAAAGTCTACGTCTGTGGCTGTTGAAAGACTATCAATAACTAAAGAGATGACTAATTGGTATTTAATAAGGAAAATGACAGAACAGGAGCTACTAAAAGCAGACCTTTTTAGAGAAGTACAAACAAACATTCCTTCAAGCTTTCATATACAGGAAGTGTCAGTGAGGCTTCCGCTACAACCAAAGAACAAAATCAGCAATAAGAGCAAGCTACATGATGGAGCTGCCATCACAGAGAGGTACATCAACAAAGAGAAAAGAGCAGAAAGAGTATGGGGGATCACCATTAGTAGGCAGGAGGGATACTGAAGAAAACAAAACTTATCGGCTAAAGAAGAGCCAGAAATAAAACATGACCAGCACGAAGAAGTGTACTTTCTGAAGGAAATGGGACAGGATAAAAATAAGATCTATGTGCAGAAGAAAGTTGGTTATTTTGACTAGCTGGCCTATTTCCTGTGATACATGCCCTATGATCTTGAACTTGTGTGACACTGTTCATAAGTAACAGGCTGTTTTCAGCTAAAACACTAAACCATTTCCTTGAACTCCGTGTGGTAAGATGAACACACAATGCCAGGCCTTCCTGCCGAAATTAGCCAGATGGAATAGGAACAGAAAAGCCCTCCTTCCATAACATGCTGTCAAAAGCATGAAGTTCATATCACATTGTATCTTCAATAACTGTGCTTCCACATGAGAATTCCTGCATGATGCGCTTAGGCAGAAGTTGTACATTTTCACAATGTGAGATTCGACTCTCACTAAAAGCAGAAAAAGGATTTTTAAACTTCAGTCTTTTCTCTCTGATGTCTTTGTTAAAAACCCAAAAAGAAAGAAATGCAAACAGAAACACAAAGTTTGAAGAAAGGAAAACAATATTATTTTCTTACTGGATGTATGTAGACAGCAGAAATTTTCAAATCTATGTAGGGAACTCTTTTACCATTCTGAAATACAGAAGGCTTGAAAATGCACTTGGCCTAAGATGTTTCTAGGTTTATATACTATACAATTTCCAAGGGATCAGCCTTCGCATGATTCAATGAATTGTTAATGATGTTAATCTAAATTAACATGTTTAATACAAAATTTAACTGCCTCCAAATTTACGTAAACTTTCAAAACCATTTCCATTTCATTAAAAAGTTTTACTCTGCTTTTCTCTCTTCTTTTTAACTCATCTTCTGTCTGAAGTATCACGCTACACAGTCATCTCAACCTTTGTTAAACAAGGGTTTTCCCATTTATTTTTTTCCAATTTCGAGAGAACTATTCCATAAGTGTTACTTTGGACTGGGATGGAAATTCCTTCTGCAGTTCAGCATCCGTTACAGAAAAATAAAAGCAAGATATGCAGCCAAGTTATCAAAATATCTGAAGGTTATTTTCTTAGTACTAAGAACTACATATTAAATTAGTCCTAACTTTCCACTAGGATATCAGTTATCTTCACATTAGTGACCACAATGAATATATATCTGAAAAAATACCTACTGGATGAACAAATAAGGGGGATAACAAAGAGTCAAGCCATTTTGTGCTAGCAGCAGGACAGTTCCTCTGTCCCTAACTGTGGGCTGAGCATAAATAATCAGAGGTAAAATATTCTGCATTTAAACAGTGCAAGACAATCTTGTCCCCACAAAGACCAAGGTTCAGAAGGCCTCTTTCACAAGAGAGCACAATTCACCACCAAGGAGCCCTGTTATGCAAGAGCCCCAGTAGTATTTGACTCCCAAAGAGGTTCCACTAAAGTAGGCTCTACTGCTGACCTTTGCAGGCCAGCAGTAACCAGCTTGTTGTCTTCTAGATGTGCGGCATTATAAGTCCCATCGTCTCTGCCAATTGGCCATACTAACTAGGATTGATAGGAATTAACCTCTGGAAGATCCTAGATTGCAAGCTCTGAGGAAGGCCCACTGGACAAGCTTGGTCATCTCCTCTTCTGTCGTTCCTTATCCTCCCATATTCAAAACGAGCTATTAGAGATTGGTTAAATCTCCAGTGCTTTTTGTACCTTTGTCCTTTACAGAAGACCGGTAGCTGCACCTCTAAAGAAAATAATAAATACTAAGCAGGGGGCACAATGGAATACATAATAAAAAAGTTAACTCCCTTAGTTTGTTTATCAAAGCATGGTACTTATGCAGACTCTAATCCTCCACTTGGACTTCAAAAGCCATTACTTCAGTAGGACTTGAGGTTTCCATACTTGGAGTAAGCCAACAGTTCAAGTTAAAGCCGTGAAAAAACTAAAAATACAGTTATGTCAATCTGCACTTCAGGCAACTAGAAGGTCCCATGGAAGCTTCAAAATACATTTAAAAATGTCGCTTCTGTCCTGTAAGAGTCTCATTATATAAACAAATATATATACATCTCTTTAAAAACTATGGAGTATCATTTTGGCAAAAAAAAATCTAATGGAAAAATAACATTTGTCATAGTTCGTCAATCTTCCATTGAAGCAGCTGCCATTGTGGATTTCATGCTGTCACGCGTGGAGGATAGTTCGCCAATCACCCACTCTACGGCTTCTCGGCCCTGTTAAAGAAAGAACAAAATCTCATTTGATCTATCAGATACCATGTCAGAAATTATAAATCTTTCCTCTGTCAGACACCAAGAGTTTCAAAAGCAAATTGCTTTATTATCTCTTGTATTTCTTAATGAACTGTGCTACTGAAATTCCTCCCATTAGAACAGTCTTGAAAATGGAAGTTTGTCTGTTCAGATAACACATTTTTCCTAGGAGAATAAAGCCGACAGTTACATGCCATAGGCGAATTCTGCTGAAGACTGCAGATGTTAGATCAGTGTAGAGAGGCCAACTGCTGTGTGTAGTGCAAGCAGTATCATTTATCTTTCTGGCCCAGTTTGTGTTTGTTTAACCAGAAGGTAAATGATACTGCTTGCTCTAGATGTGGCAGTCACCCCTATCTGCTTCTTGCAATCATATAGTATGCCTTGTACATAATGTAAACAATTTAAATATTAATTCTACCCAATAATTTATTTACACGACTAATTTATCTGCATTCTCCAGACTCTCCACACCTTAAGAGAGCATGCCAGCCGCCTGCTTCGAGGCACAAAATAGAGAGCAGCATGCCTGGAGGCCCAGATTAGCCACTGCCTTTGCTGTTGCCTGCTGCCATTTTTAGTAGGGACTCAAAAGCCTCACCTTTCAATGTCTGCATATGAACAGAAGGCAAGCCTTAGAAACCCTTATTAAAAATGGTGTAGGGCACAGTGGCGGAAGTGGCAAACCTACACAGCCACTCATTTCTGTCTTGCGAAGGAGTCTTGGTGCTTCAAGGACAGGAGAGGATGACTGACATGCTGCCTATAGCAGATTCACATGTACAGTACTGTGCACATATGAATGCATATTGGATGGGACAGAGATCATGAGTTCACAGATATGGTGGACTGTATATTAATATTCTTATGTGCCACACTGTTGTCACAGAAAGATTACTGCATTGCTTTCACATGAACCTGGCTTTTGGGATGAAATTAAAGAACATTAAGGAAAGAATGGGACAAAAGCACAGCCAACCCTAGGGCGTATCTGCATTATAGCTTTATACTCAATTTATCAAAACTTTATTTCTATAGCTTTCTAAAACAATACTAATAGCTGTAACTAGGCACTGTTGCTTCCAACTCTAGAATCCTATGCTAACTTCACTCAAAACTTTGTGCAATATCCAACATTTCTGGCAGCAAATTCAGGGGCATATACGTCCCTCAAAACTAAATACATCTTTCAAAAGAAACACAACCCCAAAACCTCAAGATGTTTTCCTTTAAGGTTTCGTAAATTTCTCCACTTCTTTCATGCTTTTAAAAATCCCATCTAAAGAACTTGTGATCTTGAGCCAAATTCATGCCATCTCTTCAGCCAAATTGCATTCTGAATCCTGGAAGCTACAGAGCTTGGATTCAGAATGAAATAAACAGAGAAGAGTAAAAGGGATCCAACATCATAGAAACTTGCTAAGAGAACAAATTGACCAGACCGCTGCAGAACAGGGAGCAGAACTACTGCAATCTCAGAGCCAAATGCTTGAGATCATTTGTGTGCACATTTTAAGAGGAACTTTCAAGTCATGTTATATATTAATGTAAATTTGATAGTCATGCAAAACTAACCTGCACACTCAATACAATTTTGAGGTTTTAAGTACAGCGCATCTGCTTTTAAACAAATTCTGAACAGTGAAATATTAATTTGAATCCCCGTTTGCTCATGTAAACTACTTGCTGCTTTTAAAGAAAATCCTATGGATTCTTGAGTCTCTCCAGCATTGCTTGCAGGTATTACTAATTTCATATAGTAACTAAGCAACTTGTTCCTCCACGGCAGGGAGTTTGACCGGATGGCCTTTATGGTCTTTTGCAACTCTATGATTTTGTCCCCTTTTAAATTAACCCAGTATGCACAGACAAAACAATCTGACAGAGGACTGGTTTAAAGAAATTGTGGTGTGCCTTAAAATAGCATATTAGTATACAACAGTAAGCAAGCACACTGCAACAATGCATGCATCCTTAGTTACATATACACTGGTAGTACATTGCGTATCTAAAATGAGAGTTAGAAACTGCATATAACTTCAGTGGTTATTATTTTAAAAACACTGAGAATATATATTTCAAAAACATAGATATTATGCAGGTTGATATTTGATGCATACAGTGCATGTTTAGCTTTTTAAAAATATATACACACACTCCAAAATTTAGAGTATTAAGAATACTAATGCACATGATGTATTTCACTCCTGCATACAGGACGTGAAGTTCAGCTGACAAGTTCAAGACTGAATATCAGATTGTTCTGTTTAAAAACTATTAGGAAAATCTTTCTTGTTATCCAACTCAAAGAATTCTTAAAATTCAGCCACCTAAATTACTTGTAAACCATACATACAGATACATAACAGTCTATCAGTTTCTAAAAATACTACATCTAACTAGAGAAGACAAGAACAGCTATTTTCACAGCAACAGCAATTGATTTAAGTTTGGACAAGGGGCTTATTCAGAAGTAACAACTCAGCTGTGGTTTGTCATTAGAAGTACAAGATGTGTTCTTTCCCCTTCCTTACTTCCACAGGGGAAAATAAAATTAAGAAGCTTTAAGTTTCCAATTCATATCCTGAAAAAGATTGCTAGATATCAATAAAACAAGATTTGGCTGGTTCACATCATTTTTATTAAATTGGGATTTAACCAAATGACACATCACTATATTGTTGCAAACCAGACAGAGTTTTCTTACTAACCCCTTATTTACAAAGCAAAATAGAGAAGAAAGGAGCGGAGAACATGCACAAGTCCAAAGTTAACTGCTGCTCAAAGCTAAAGCAAACTCAACTGGTTTTTGTATCTGAATGAAGCCAAAGTGTTAATTTTATTGGTCCTGTTGTCTAAATAGTAAAACTACCTGAAAACTAAATGCCAACGAGGCTAAAAGGGTGAAGTGCAGTTTTTGCATAAGGCAAGATCTAGGTGTGACAGGAGATGCATGCCTACGACCAAGCTCCACAATCTCAGATCTACCCCTCCTTTCTTCTGCTACAAAGGTTGGAAACACAGCACATGTGTGGCAGAACTGATCTGAGAATATGTCAGCCTATCCTGAGGCTGCTTTCAGCAGCAGCCATACACTACCTGTCATGTTCCTAATAAGCACTAAGCACAAGCATCATATTTGTGTTTTTTTAAAAAAAAAATATTTTTAAAAAACCTACAAAACTTTGTATGTAAACATTTCTATTACAGGAGAGCACATTTGCTTGAGTTACAACTGTGTGAAATGTCTATAATAATATGTAATATTTGTTATAGTGCAATAACAGTTGTTCCACAATTATTTAAATCTAGAGACAAAGCAGTCACCGTTGCTCATTTTTGATCCCAAAAAAATTAGCCGCTTGTGCTCCTTCTATTTTTATTACTTTTAAACTTATTTATGCAATGCTTTTGATACGAAATAAACAAAGTTGTTCCATCTACAATTGTTCTTAAAAAGCCACGTGGGGGCCACCCACTTTTTGGGTTACAGCTCCAACCACTGCCAACAAAAAATCTCATGCAAAAGGCTAGCCCTGACAGTACAGTCATCCCTCCACATTCACTGGGATTAGGGGAACGTGAAAAGCTGCAAATAAGGAAATTGCTATTTCTTATATGAGAAAACTCTTCCCTAGAAATTTCTAGGTGTTCTAGAATGACTCTATGGCTAACTTTTGCTGGAAGCTGACCACAGAATTGCATTTGAGGACCTAGAGATTCCTAAGAGGTGTTATCTCTAGTCCTCTAGCATAACTGGAGGAAGTTCTCTATAGAGTAGTGGTTCCCAACCTTTTTTTTTTAACCAGGGACCACTTTGACCAGGGACCACTCTCCAACATTAGTACCAAAAGGGTACAAATCGGATTTTGGTCAACTTTAGATTCAGTTTGGTTATTTGGGGTGTTGATTCAGAAAATTGCACCGAATAGATCACATCAGTTCTAGTTTCTGATACAGAATATATGCCATCCAGTAATTACCATCTGCTCACTCACAGAAAACCATATTTAAAAAACCTCGGCACTATAGGAGGGTTTCACAAGACCAGTCGCTCTAGTTGAAACAGTGTCGTAATGGTGATGCAGCAGACCATATTTTAGTTCTTGCAGACCACTGGTGGTCCACGTACCACAGATTGGGAACCACTGCTATAGAGTTTAACTAGAGAACCAATTGCCAGAGAACATTTTAATGACAATCCATGAATAATCAAATTCACAAAATGTGGAGGGATGACTATATATCCCACAACATAAAAAGTTTCTCTATCCTTAGTTGAATAGCATGCTACACAATCAAAAGGTAAATTAAAAACAAAATGCAAGCGTAATTAATGGTTCACTTTTTGTTTAGCAACCTTTTAAATTATTTCGAACACTTCAGACATCACTGATGCCTCTAAATCCAGTATTGAAGATAAGGGTGATGGTTTATTATATGCAATGTGTGTATATATAAAGCATGCAAGTTTTAAAAGTTAACACCACAATGACATGCACATTTGCTAGAAGCTGAAATGTTGAACCAAGATAACAAATGCTGGTATTACCACTAGTTAGTACAAAATGCAGCTGTAGAGAGAGACTGCTAGCTTAGAACACTCTCAGAATGTTGAATTGTCCACTCAATAGCATCCCACCCCTAGAGTAATACAGAAAAGATTTACAACTTACAGTAAAAGGTTATTCCATCATCAGCCCTGCCATCTCCAGAGCCCCCAACAATATTAAACATTTTAACTGGTTACAAAAATATGACCTAGAATTCAATTAATTACGTCCTAGAATTTAATTAATCCCCACATCATAAACTAGGATTTGGATGATACACAAATATATGTGTAGCAGTTGTATGCTACACAAACAAGGATAGCAGATGAAAGCGAGGCTCATACAAGTTCATATATTTTACCAGTTATGGTATATCTCAGCATTAATTTGAGACTGCCTCACATATTAGAAAATTCTTAAACCATTATTTTCACCTTGAGGTATGGAAACCTACACTTACCTTTCTAGCATTAGAAGATATTGTGCTCGCCATTAAAGATTCCAAATAGCTACTGAGGCTGACACCTTTTACGGTGATAATTGCTTCCTGAGTTAGCAAAGTCCTGAAAAGGTAGGAGAGAAACAGATCAGTACAGAATGCCCCATCTTCCCATTTCTCATTGAAGGAACGAGAAACAAAGAGATATTCTAACTTACTTTTCTGGGTTTTCAGGATGAGGCGTGTACACTAATCGTTCATCAACTGACACAAGATTTGTGAGTGTTATCTTGAAAAAGGAAAAGAAAAAACTGTTTTTTTTCCCATTTGCATTTTTTGGTCTTGCATAAACCTTCTTTTGAGCTTCCAACAGACAGGCAAAACTGTACTGTTTTGTATGGTCTTTAATTCTTATAACTATGTTTGTCTATTGGGACTATTTTAATTGTGGATTTTTAAACCATTTTAACACAATATTGCTTAATATGTTTTTAAAGTTTCAACATCTGGAAACATACAGTCTCCACACCCATATTGCCCAGTGTCACCCCCTTCTCCCAAATTCACACATCATGACCATTTCTGTGCTGTAAGAGAGTAGGATGATTCACAGAGACATTCCAGCTTACTGCTGTGTATCAACTTGGGGGACTGGAAGGCTATGAGGCTCTAATGTTTCATTAATTTCTCCAATTTTTTCATGCTTTTAAAAATCCAATCTAAAGAACATATGATCTTATGATAATATCTAAATTAATTACCAAATCTGATTCAAGGACCAGAAGTGGTATAAAACAGATTAACACACTTAAAATAATTTCCCTTGAAGCAGTCTTTTTTTAAACTGGTGAACTTCAGATATACGCTTAACTACAACTTCTATCACATTTAATATCCCATGATGACATGCTAGCGAGAGGAACTGTAGTCCTACATGCATCAGGCTAAGAGAAAAGTGCCTTAAAAGTTTGCTTTCAATGGGCAATCCTAAACACACTATGCTGGGAACTAAAATCCACCGTGTGTGTGTATAGACAGTATTGTAACTCTAACACAGAAAATGAGAGCACTCCTCCTAAAACGTCCTCTTCAAAAAAATCATGTTATTTTTTCTTTTGATATATTTTATTTTTTGATTAATATAAGAGTTCACCATAACATCCATACAACAACACACAGTGTATTGCAGACCATACATGCACCCAAAACCCATATCCCACACAGAGTAAAACCTCTTTCCCACACCTGTGCTTGTTATTAATCGCAAACTGCTCTTCTTTTTTTTGGAGTGGGCTATTTATGTATGACATTTATATACTGCCCTTTTCACCCCAAAGGGGACTCAGAGCAGCTTACAAGGTATATATACAATATCTATATCTATATCTATATCATCTATATCTATATCTATATATCGGGTTAAAAATCCAAAAGCCTGAATTTCCTGTATGCAGTAGATCACATCTGAACTTGGAGCAAGCTTGGTTAGGACTCGAATCAGGGACTACCAGATGCTATTTAGGCTGTCCTTCAGAGGAAGGCATAAGAAACGACCTCTGACTATTTCTTGCTTGATAAAATCCTATGAAATGTATGGGGTCACCCTAAAGCAACAGGAAACTTAAAGGCACGCATACACAACCAAATGTTATAACACAAACACAAAATAACAGTTTTGGTTTCGATGTTGGTGTTATAAAACACCATCTGCCATAAACTAGGCTACATTCAAATAAACTAGCCTAATTTGAATGATGTGATAAGCCATGACACTAAACTATGGAATAAATTATAAACAGATAAACTCTTCAACAAACCAAAGATTCTTTCTCTGGCACGCTAAGGGAGAAACAAGCTACAGCACCAGCTGCTGTTAAGTTCATGTTATGGGCTGACCAAAGTCTACAGTTCACCTAGTTGCTTTTGCTGCAAGTAGGCGTGAATACACTTTTCAAATCAGAATGCTCGTTCATTTTCAATCTAATCAGGGCTGCCATGGAATCCTAACATTCAATGACATCTGGACATGCTGTGTGTGTCCAAAAGCAGCAAGCAACTCTCCCAGCTCCACTCACAAATGCAACATAGAGCACTTCATTACTCACATTTGTTGAACTCAGTACCATTTTCTTTTCCACAGGATCAACCACAGAATGTTCTTTAATGTATGTGACAGTTCTACTCGTTCCCAGAATCTGAAAAAGAAAAACAAACATTTCCCAAACACTGTGAGCGTCTATGTCTATAAAGTCTGTTGTGGTTCATCTTTTCAGAAAAAAGGCTCATTCTTTGTCTATGTCCATTCTTAACGAGATTCATCCTAAGAGTTTAAAGTTAATTATAATATGCAATGTAATAAGAATAGGACATGCACTCACAAGGAAACTATTCTGTAACTTGTTCAGAATATTATCTTAAAGTACTATCATCTGCATCTGTATTACCACCAATCTTCACTTGATAACTTACCGCTTTTACAATACTTGGTAGGCCCCATTCAGTGCTAAGCAACCGGTGACTATGCAACCTTCCTTGATTATCAAGGCTTCGATCCAAGACGTCAACTCCTACCACTGATGGGTTCATAGGATTGGGGTATTTTCGCATAGCAGCTTTTATTACAGTTTCCCATGGATGTCTAGGAAAAATGAAACACAAAAGAATCACATTATTTAGTGTATACAGCACTGTTTACTGCAAATTAAATATCTTTAATTTGTATTAAATAACAGCAAATTTCTTGAACTCAACCATTTTCTAGCTTTATGTAAAAGCCAGTAGCAGCCCTTGCTTATTTTCCCCTTCCTTCGTCCACTCTCTTCTTTCATATACTGTCTATTAGATTGTTAGTGACATGAAAGGCAGTAGCAGGAAAGCAATTTCTTTAGTCAGAAGCCCAATTCCTAGCAGGAGAAAACACAAACTAGAAGAGTCCTTTGTAGCTTTCTTCAACTTCTACAAATAGCAGCACAATCAAAATTTGAATATTATACTGCCTCACTGTACAACAGTATCAGCTGTTTTCTTAATTCTCTATATCTGCAAGAGAATCCTAGCACATGCATGATTCCATACACTAGAAAGAGAAAAAAGCTGCCCCAGCACAAGAGAATATAGTCAGCCGTCCACATTTGGTGGGGTTAGGGAATCCGTAAAAGTGAAAAAACACAATTGAACAAATCGCTTTTTTTAAACCAGAGAGCACCCCTCTAGGCATTTCTATGTCTCCCAGCAGACTTCTGCTGGAAGCTGACCATAGAATTGTACTGGAAAATTTAAGACATTCCTAGAGAGGTGATCTATCTAGAAGTGGTCCTCCATTATGACTGGGGGAAGCTGACCATAATCACACTTCAGGACTAACAGACACCTTGAGATAACATTTAAATCAAATCTATGAATAATCAAATTAGCAATATAGAAGGGCAACTGAAGTAGTATGCCTCAATTAATTAACCAGATGTGAATGTAGTCTCTACTTCTGTAATATAAACTTTGGTAGCAGAAGTGAAAATAAAAAGGAAAGAATAGGAATAGATTCCTGCATCACAAAAAGGAAGAACAAGCTTGCATTTTTTCATTGTTCTAGCATTAGATTAGTAGCATCTAGAGAACATTCATGCTATTATGGAAACAAGTGCAAGTATTACCCAGTTGTAAAAAACAATACGTGATTTTTCTCATCAGCCTCTTCCTAGCCACTAAAGGACTACTGTGCCTGGAAGAAAATCTTTCAGATGACAAGTTCAATGTTGTATTTAACTTGTTCTTTATCAGATTTTCTTGAGGTAAGTTAAACTGTTTCAGTTTTCTTAAACTATTTAACCAAGATGTTATCATCAATAAGTGATAGCTATGCATTCAGGAACAATCGTAATCTGCTTTATCAGCTTGCAAGCAGTTTTTCACCTTGGAAATGTTCTGTACACAGCCACGGGTTTGCTTGAATGTATAACTAGTTCAGCCATTAAGCACAAACGTATATCTGGTGACAGAGTAGATCACAAGTCACAATCTTCCTCTACCTACAGGCATCTGAAGATGGAGCCACAGTGGTGCAATGGGTTAAACCCTTGTGCCAGCTGAACTGCTAACCTTAAGGTCAGAAGTTCAAATCCGTGAGATGGAGTGAGCTCCCATCTGTCTGCACATCCAGGCATCCCCTGGGCAACGTCTCTGCAGAGACAGTCAATTCTCTCACACACCAGAAGTGATTTGCAGTTTCTCAAGTCACTTCTGACATGACAAAAAAAATCTGAAGATGGTTTAGCCCTCATCTAATAAAAAGGAATTGCACTTAGTCATGAGAGATAATGAGCAAAGCTTTAACGAGCTACTTTTTGAGTTATAACTCTCAGAATCCCTCCCAACAAAGGGAAAAGAGCACTCTCCTCCAAGATCACTTAAACCATATCTTCTCCTAGCAGTCTTATGGTGCTCAACTGCAGCCATATATAGGTGGGAACACTGTGAAGTGAGGGAGCTAAAGAAGCAAATTGTAATTGCTCACCAACAACTAAGCTTAAGAACTTTCCCAAAGAAAAGATGAAGCTGATAATATTCTCTTATTTCCAGAGGATACACAAAAATTCAACTAACAGCAAATTTAGAATTGACCGTTATAAAATCTCAAATAACACACTAATAACTTCCCACAACTGACATCCCTAACAGAGCCCTGTTCACTGGTGCCAAGACCCTGATAGACTTCCTGTTCTTTTAGTCAGCACTTCAAGGCCAGTGGAAGTATTGCTTTAAGTGAGTATAGGCATTACCATTGTATTTCATTGCACTCTCTTGGCCTTTCCAGACGGCCCTATATATTATATTATATTAATACACTAAAATATTGAATGTGAATCATACAGTTTACATGACACCTTCAAAATGACCATTGTAACCAAATGTTTCAACACAAAATTCCAGGAAAACTTTGATTAGATGGCAGTGCCTTCTGGGCATGGCACACATGCAAATGGGACACTTGCACTAGGTTTTGGTCCATGTATAATGATCAACTGTAGAAAAAGGAAGTAATATGAAAGAGATGTTATTACTATTAAAAGAAATCGATTCATTCCTGAAGGATTAATAACCAAGGAACAAATTTTCAATCCAATTAATGTTGGTTATGTTACTTCAAACAACCTAACTCAGACACTGCCTATTAAGGTAACTAAAAAGGACAAGATGACATTTGACTGTCCTTGTCAATGCCAAATGATATTTAGTGAACACATGGTTACTTTCCACCTATTTATCATGTTTCTACAGAGTTCCACTTCTGTCAATTCTTGATTCAATTCCAAAAATAAAGTCTTCAGAGCTAAGGACTACAAAAAGCATTTTAAAGCAGTTATTTAATTGCTGGTTCTCAAATGATATAGAGCAAGTAGTTTTTCTCACAAGTTTTGATTTGTTGTCTTTATAAAATAAGGTCTTCGTCTGTCTTTCCAAAGGAATGATAAATCCCCCTTCTGAATAAGCACATCAAGATCTATTTTTATCTCAATTACGTAAATACAAGCTTTCACGTGCAATACTTAAGCTTGTCTTGATGCACAATTCCAGGAGGATGCATTTGTAAGATGATTTCCTTTACAGATGAGATACAGCAGTACCTCCATCCATTTTCAGCCACATGTTCCTGGAGTACTAATTCTCCACTAAGCACCACGGTTCTCATAACCTTTAAACGCAAGATCTAATTAGGCTTCAGGGCTTGATATCTGTTCTGCTATTTTCTTTGTAATTTCTTTGAAGAAAGATATTGTACAGTTCCATCAACTTCTAGTAATTATAACGGCAAATCCTAGCGTTCCTTTGTAGCTTGAAGACGGAGAAACCCATGGCAAAGAATCATGCTACACTCCTATCAGCTTATTACCAAGAGTGCTCATGTTAACAGCAGCATAGGATGTATCTGCACTGCCAAATAAATTAAACTACATTCTATGGCAATGCACACCCAGTCTCTGTTTGTGTATAAAGTACAATCTCTTTATCCTCAGAAAATATGTTCCCATATTCAATATATTTACATGAAGCTGCAGATAACTGCAAACCCTTTGAAAGGAAGGATTTTCAGCCCAAGAATACCACAGTTACACTGGAAAACCTAGAAAATTCTGAGAGAACATATATAATGTTGGACATAGATAAATTACACTGCAGATACTGGTACCACGGATACTGGGGTTGCTATATTGGAGTATTCTCAGAAACTAGTTCTACTTAGTGGCAAATTCTCAGACAGCAGAGGTTTATTACTATGACATGACTTCAGAAAAAGAAACTCGCCTTTGCCTGACTGATACTTCACCACCATTTCCCCGAAAAGATAATTGAACAGAAAGGGTAGTGTTCTACACTTCTCATCTCAAAACAATTTCTCACCTGGCTCACTAGAAAATAAAGTCAAAAGATAGAAAACCATATATCTGGCACCAATTATAAAAACATAAGGAAAGCTATGCTGGGGCACACTAAAGAATTATCTCATCCAGTGTAGTGTTCCCACAAGTGTCAAGTGATTAATCAATTGCCAAGGGAGGCTCCTAAGTAGGGATATAAGCCTAACCCCATTCTCCTGCTTAACCCCCCCCCCAAGTAATTCAGAATCAGAAACATTCTGCCTCTGGGAACAGCGAGAATGTATAAGCTGGTCTGAGTCCCTCTATGGAGGTTAGAGAAGATCGAGATATAAATAAATAAATAAAGATCATACCATAATTAGCAGCCACTGGTGGCTCCATCTTTCAAGAATTTATTAAGCTATTGTTACTAATTTTTCAAAGTTCCCAGCTATCACTAAACTACATCTCGTAAAATTTTACAATATAAGCCTCTATCTTATTTACATCTAGACTCTGGGTATTAAAGAATAGCCAATAATGGAAGATTCATAACATTTTCTCAAAAAAAAAAAAAAAACCATGCAAGGTTTTCCCCTGCTATGAAGGCTGACAACAAGGCCAACCGAGAGAACATGGAGAGATAGAAAGAGAACTTCAACAAGCTACCAGTACGGTCTTTCTCACAGAGTCCCTGGTGGAAGTGTAAAAGAAAAAAGTAATCTCCAAATTGGGTTGCTGTGAGTTTTCCAGGCTGTATGGCCATGTTCCAGAAGCAGTCTCTCCTGACGTTTTGCCTACAGTAGGTTGTGAGGTCTGTTGGAAACTAAGCAAGTGAGGTTTATATATCTGTGGAATGCCCAGGGTGGGAAAAAACTCTTGTCTGTTTGAGGCAAGTGTGAATGTTGCAATTGGCCTCCTTGATTAGCATTTAATAGCCTTGGTAGCTTGAAAGACTGGCAGATTGCTGCCTGGGCAAATCCTCTGTTGGTAGTTGTTAGCTGGCCCTGTTTGATTCTTGTCCGGAATTTCCCTGCTTTTTGAGTGTTCCTCTTTGTGTACTGTCCTGGTAGCCAGATTTTGTTCATTTCCATGGTTTCTTCCTTTCTGTTGAAATTGTCCACATGCTTGTGGATTTCAATGGCTTCTCTGTGTAGTCTGACATGGTGGTTGTGAGAGTGGTCCAGCACTTCTGTGTTCTCAAATAATATGCTGTGTCCAGGTTGGTACATCAGGTGCTCTGCTATCACTGACTTATCAGGCAGAGTTAGTCTGAAGGGCCTTTTATGTTCCTTGATTTGTGTTTGGGTATTGCTGCGTTTGGTGGTCCCTGTGTAGACTTGTCCACAGCTGCATAGTGTACAGTAGACTCTTGCAGAAGTGAGAGAATCCCTCTTGTCCTTTGCTGAATGTAGCATTTGTTGAATTTTCTTAGTGGGTCTGCAGATAGTTTGTAGGTTGTGTTTCTTCATCAGCTTCCCTATGCGGTCAGTGGTTCCCCCTGATGTATGGTAAGAACGCTTTTTCTCTGGGTGGATCTTTGTCTTTACTCTTGGTCTTGCAGCTCTTCTGATGTCTGTGGTGGAGTATCAATTGGCCTGTAGAGCCCAGTCGAGGTGGTTCAGTTCACGAGAGTAAAGACAAAGATCCTCCTAGAGGAAAAATGTTCTTACCATACATCAAGAGAACCAATACATTGACTTCAAGAAATGAGCAACATCTATTGGTAGTAAGTCTATCCCCAAGTTCAGAAATGTTAGTGGGTTGTTGTAGGCTTTTTTGGGCTATATGGCCATGTACTAGAAGCATTCTCTCTTGATGTTTCATCTGCATCTACGGCAAGCATCTTCAGAGGTAGTGAGGAAATGTTAGCTTGGCTTATCAACTACTACTTGTTGCTGCTACTAATTCTCAAACAGTGGGGCATCCCTTTTGTGCACTTCAGAAATAGAAGTGAAAAAGAGATCATTGAGGATATGGTTCTGCTGTTTGGTAGCTGCAAGGCTATTCAATGCTAATCAAGGTGATCAATTGCAACTACTCAGAGGTTGAGTGGTCTGTTGGAAACTAGGCAAGTGAGGTTTATATAGATGTGGAATATCCCAACAAAGGATTCTCCCAGGCAGCAACCAACCAGGTATTGATGGTGCAAGGCCATTAAATGCTACCAGTATTTTAAAAACTCTAAAATCAGAACAGTAAAGAGTAACATTAAAAAAATAGGGGAATCTCAGACAAGAATCAATCAAAGCCAGCAAACACCTCCCACCAAAGCATCCCCCCAGGCAGTAACCAGCCAAGTTTCAAAGACTGAAAGGCCATTAAATGCTAATCAAGGTGGCCAATTGCAACATTTACACTTGCCTCAAGCCGACAAGAGTTCTTTCTCTCACCCTGGACATTCCACAGATATAGAAACCTCACTTGCCTGGTTTCCAAAAGACCTCACAACCTGAGGATGCCTGCCATAGATGTGGGTAAAACATCAGGAGAGAATACTTCTGGAACATGGCCAGACAGCCCGGAAAATTCACAGCAACCCGAAAGCTGTTTGTAGGAGAAATATAAAACTCACAGTGATGAAAGCCTTCGACAACACAAATATAAAAATAACTGAGAGAGAGAAGCGACCCTAACGGCCATCACACCATTTTTAAAGCCCTAGGCCCAAAGCCTGGCACCTCAGGGCTTTCTCCATCCCCGGGGAAGCCAAGCGAAGACAAAGCGAAGCAGCAGCTCATGCCTGATAAAGCCGGATTATTACTCGGAAGGCGGAAGCGGGCCAAGCAAGCGATGCACTCATCCAAAGGCTGCAGGGGCCCCCTTCCCCTTACCCGAACTCGTGCTCTGAGCTCCAGATCTTCATCCTGGGCAGCAGCACAGCAGCGACGCAAATGGCGGCCGCTCTGTGAGGTGAACCGGCTCCTCGCCCCCCAAAAAGGAAAGGGCGGGGCTTCTTGCGGAAATTGGGTGAGAGGTTACGGGTGACGTCAGCGACCACGACGCGGTCTCCTGCGCGAGGCCAGGGCTCCTTGCGTCACGCGCCGGCGGTTCCTGGGCGAGGCGCCGCAGAGGCCGGAAGAGGACTCCGCGGCTGGAAGGCGCATGCGCGGGAGGTGTCCTTGAAACGGAGGCAGCGCTGTTTCCTCGTCGTGGCGTGCTTACGTCATCGCCATACTTCCTATCTCGGCAAGCGCGTGACTCCTTGAGCTGTTCCAAGGTTGCCTGCTGCTGAGGGCGCGAGCTTCTCCTTGAGCTTTTTTTTGTGTCATCGAAGTTGTGCAAAACACAAAGTAACTAAAGCATGTGTGCCCTTGGTTGTGAAATGAAGTGAGAGAGGGAGAAACAATCTAGCAGCACTTTTTAAAGACTAGGGCCCCTTCCACACAAGATGAATAAAATCCCACATCTGCATTGAACTGGAATATATGGCAGTGTGGACTCGGGGCCCTTCCACTGGGTTATTGGAGTTCACACTCAGAAAATATGGGATTTTTTGCCTTGATAGTCTGGGATATGGAAAGGCCCATAGTGCCATACTCAAACCACTGCATATACTTTGCTCTTCTGAATGCCAAATATTTCTAAGACTGCTGATCTCAGTACTTTTTCTCTGATGTCACTTTTCTGTAGAGGTCATTCCCTTCTTGGCTATGTGGAGATTGGGGACAAAGGGCAATACAAGATAGGTAATATAATCACAGCTCCATTACTAACAGAAAAAACTTTTCCTTGAGATCCAGGCTCTTCTACGCTGCCATATAAAATCCAGATTATCTGCTTTTTAATGGGGGCCCTTCCACACTGCCATATATCCCAGAATATCAAGGCAGAAAATCCCACAATATCTGCTTTGAACTGGGTCATCTGAGTCCACACTTATTTATTTATTGTGTCATCAGCAACCATACCATTGTATTACATTTCTAATAGAACAAAACAAACAAACAGATTACCTCAGCAAGCGAGAGTCCAAAAGTGGCAGGCCCAAACCCAGCACCTCAATCCATGGGTGATACCAAATGAAAGACTCCCCCCTGGGCACACAGAAGACTGGATGACTTGGAAGGCGCTGAACAGACTGCGTTCTGGCACCACGAGATGCAGAGCCAATCTTAAGAAATGGGGCTACAGGGTGGAATCCATGGCATGCGAGTGCAGAAAAGAGCAAACCACTGACCACCCACTGCAATGCACCCTGAGCCCTGCCACGTGCACAATGGAGGATCTCCTTGCGGCAACACCAGAGGCACTCCAAGTGGCCAGATACTGGTCAAAGGACATTTAATCAACTACCAAGTCCACACTTAGATAATGTGGGATTTTCTGCCTTGATATGCTGGGATATAGGACTGTGTGGAAGGGCCCTGTATTATATGGCAATGTAGACTCGGATAATCCAGTTCAAAGCAAACAGTGTGGATAATAGGGCAGTGTATCTGATTTGATAATCTGGATTATAGGGCAGGCCGCCCCTATGAACCTAGCTACCCTTGTTGGTACAATGAGAAAGATCTAATGGACTCAGGGCTCTTCCACACAGCTCTATATCCCAGAATATCAATACAGGAAATTCCACAATATCTGCTTTGAATTGGGTTATCTGAGTCCACACTCAGATAATGTGGGATTTTTTTTTTTTTTTGCCTTGATACTCTGGAATATAGGGCTGTGTGGAAGGGCTCTGAGATGTAATTATTTTGATTTTTTTAAATCTCCAATAAAGTTAAAACTACAATACAGCTGTTACCATACCTCATGAAATCTGTTCGGCCAGGGTAGTCCATGCCTTGGCTACATGCAGATTGGACTATTGCAATGCGATCTACATGGGGCTGCCCTTGAAGACAGCCCGGAAATTTCAGTTGGTACAACGGGTGGCAGTCAGGCTCCTTACTGGAGTAACCTATAAGGAGCATACAACGCGCCTATTAAAATAGCTTCATTGGCTGCCGATAAGTTGCTGAGCCAAATTCAAAGTGCAGGTAATGACCTATAAAGCCCTAAATGGTTCAGGCCCCACCTATCTACATGACTGCATCTCCGTCTATGAACTGCGCGAACTCTAAGATCCTCTGGGGAGGCCTTCCTCTCGCTCCCACCATGGGACAAGAGAGAGCCCCACCACCACCTCTGGAACGCCCTTCCAAGGGAAATAAGACAGGCCCCATCCCTCCCCTCTTTTCATAAAAGTTTGAATACCTGGTGGTTTCAACAAACCTTTGAGAGTGACTAGTGCTAGGTAAGCCCAGACATTGTTCGAATACGACCTTGCACCCACTACATATTACCCTAGCTATTCTTCTAAGAGGCCTCTGGAAATGAGCAGCCACAGGCCTGTTCCCACTATTGTTGTTTGCCTATTACAGTATTGTACCCAAATTCCAGGCCCATCTTATTTTGATTTTGTACCAGTCTTGGCCCAGCCTTTTTAATTGTCCTGACCCATTCCTTCCCATGCCCTAACAAATAGGCATGAAAAATGGTCAGGATTTCTTTTAATATATATGTGTTATTGGGATAATTCTATGCTTGTTGCTGTTATTGTTATTTTTGCTTATGTTGTGACTCTATATGTTCTGGTGCTGTTACTTGGAAACTGGCCTGAGTCCCCTCGGGAGATAGAGGTATATAAATAAAGTTTTATTATTATATTATTATACCTATATAGCACCCACATGTTTTTTAGAGATATAACAGTAGAGACATCTTGAGAAATGTACTGTTCTCTACTTAAGAAAGTGGCAGGCAGCTGTACAAAGGACAAGGAAGCCTGGGTCTGAAAATATGTCCTTTTTCTGTTACTAGTGGAGTGAAAATTTTATTACCTGACTTTTATTGCCCTTTGTCCTCATTGCCACAAGGCTGAGAAAGGGAGCAGCCTTCGTCTGCATTGAATCCCTCTCTAAACCATCTTTACTGGCAACAGGAAAAAAATCTGAGGCAAAACTTAGGCCCCTTCCACATAGCTGTATAAAATCTATGTTGAACTGGGTTATATGGCAGTGTGGACTCAGATAATCCAGTTCAAAGCAGATATTGTGGATTTTTTTGTGTCAAAAGCATTGCATAAAAAGCAATGCTTTTGGGTTGGAAAGGTTGGCCATTTACAAGAAACTTTGCCCGGGGGACACCTCACTGTATTTACTCAGTCTTTGAGGAGGCTCTTTCCGTGTCCTCCAGATATTGTGGGTTATCTACCTTGATATTCTGGGTAATATGGCTATGTGGAAGGGCCCTTGGACCTCTGACTCTTAACACTGTCACTTTTCTTCCCTTGCATTACTTTTAACGTATTTGATAAAGAAGCCAGAGAAGCTTAAAAAAATCTTACATTTTTTGTGTTTTGTTTTGTTTTGTTTTGGCAATTGGTTGGACAATAAAAATAACATTATTTTGTGGACTTTAGATATTAGAATTTGCTGCAAAGCCAACTACAAATCCCAGTATTCCAAAAGCCGTTGCCATGACAAAGTGGAACCACGGACCTATAAGTGTGTAGTGTGAAGGAGCTCCTGAGAAAGATGGGGGGTGGGGGATGACAACTTTGAGCACCATCCTTCTAAGCCAGTGGTTCTCAACCTGTGGGTCCCCAGGTGTTTTAGCCTACAACTTCCAGAAATCCCAGCCAGTTTACCAG